AGGTTACAATCCCATAAGAAAATGGACGGGGTAGCACCCAAACCGAAACAACTAAATGTAAGGTACCAAATAAAAGGGGTACTACTCCATAAACTGGTCTTTGGGGGTCTAATATCCCAGAATCTGGAAGTTAACGAAATGACGCCAACCACAATCTTCGCAGAAAAAAAAATGACGTAGAACACCTAACTTTGTAAAAGAAGGCTAAAATAAGTGGCCTTGAAGAAGGTATGGTCGATAGGAAATCAGAAGGAACGGATAAAAACCGGTAAAGAAGGTATCTTGATAGGAAACCAAAATAGGTTAGTACTTACAGAAACCACAGAGTGGCGCGGATTGCTAACCAACTCGGAACCAACTCTACGAGGGACCAGCGATATTTTATCAGGAAGTGTCTGAGACAGTTGTTAATAAAATACTATAACATAAGTGTCCAAAATATTTCAACACAATACTAAATCGCCGAGAAAGAAAAATAAAATACGTATGAAATTATACAATCAATAAACTATGGTATTTGCCAAAAGAAAATCGTTGAATAGGGTTTGGCCTAGGAATGGGCACTCTACCATTAATGAAAAGAAATTCAAATTACTGGTTAATGATTAAAATAGTAAACAAAAAGTTGTGTGATTTTGGTACGTTACAAACTTTGAGATGGGAATTTTTATTCATGTAATTTCGGTAGTTTGTAAAGCTCCCCCAGATAGACTCTCTGATCCATCACTACATGAAAATAATTTTAAGCCGAAACATCCTTCCAAAAACTCACATAACACAAAGTACGATGAAAAGACCTGCGAAATATCGAGACCGGTGCGCCAGTCGGTGAACCCAGAAAACAGAAGCAGGATTGGGAGCATATAAATATAATAACATCACAAAATTGAGCCCCCTTCAACCCCTAACCCCCAATAACCTCACAAAATCGTTTTAAAAATAATCAGGAGACACAGTAACTTAAAAAAAAATATCGTCTCGTTTTTGCACTGTATCGATTTTCAATAACTAAAGGTTTCTCGTTCTTGGCAGACCCTGTGTAAAAATTTCATGCCAATCCGAGCGGAACTTTCCATGTTATAGACGGGCCATGGATTAGCGCACATACTGACAGACGGATAGACCGAAGAAAACGAGTTACATGGTTTTTCGTGATGTCTCAGAACATAAAAAATATATCTTATTTTCGAAATTTTTCGTGACTGCGAAACTTCCTCACCAGTAGGCGTGGATAATAAAATACCTCTCGCATTCTGGACAACGCAAACAGACAGAGCAACAGTACAGAGCTTTTTTGCTGAAAAAAAAACTTTACCATCTAAAGACAAGGAGAATTCTGAGAGTTGCTCAGAGTCTTATGAAACTAAGAACCCTTTCCAAGCGGCATACGACATTTATGAAGACTGGCACGCCCGCCGGTAAAGCCGGGAAACATACGCAAAGAGATTGAGGTATACCATCCCCAACCCTCACAACTCCCAACCCTAAATTTTTAACCCCTACAAAATTTTTCCTAAAACCTACCAGGAGCCTCTGATGCGTCAAAAGACGAAGTTCGAGTTAATTTTTTTTTTTTTTGTTTTGATCCTTGTCTCCGTCGACACTGGACTGATTTTCAAAAAACAATAAAGCATCTCGGTCGTTTACGTTTCGCCCCAGAGGTCTGCGTAGAATAGTATGACTTTAAAAAAATTTATATAAAGTTACGTAGGCAATAAGCGCCGATAAGACAGCTTCGAAAAACTTTGGGTATACTTGAGAAAGGCTATAAAAGCTTTCCCGTAAAAAATAAGGCATTATACAAAAGTTGTTAGTATTTCAGAAATAGAACGTTTTCTAGTGAATAATTCCATCCTTCAAAAAAGTTATGAAAGTTTGACACTCCAAAAATAACAGTATTTAACCTCACGGACCCACGGGTGTTTAGGCTTTAGGCGTCGTGGTGGTTTAAATATATAAAAGTACTTACAAATCGAAGATCCTATTTAGAAAACCGCAGAAGTCACAAAATGAACAAAAAAAAGAACCGCAGGTCAATCGGATTGTGACCTCGCGAATCGAAAAGGTTGACGCGCAACCGAAGACTAGATAAGACGGCAAGAAACAACATATATCAAAATCGCGCATCAGCTCTTAAAAACGAAAGAGAGGGACAATCGGTGACCGCTGCCGGTCGCGGGTCGGGGACCCGAAAAAGAGTACCGCGATTGGAGTACAGAAGTACGACTGTAGAGAGGGGGCTCCACCGGCCGGTCCCCCATTGAAGCGTAGGTGAGTCTTCCAAAGCGCAGCAGTTCCAGGGCAATGTTAACCTGAAAGTCAAAAACTGAAGCTTACCGTACATGATCAGTTGTGTCGGTATTTTACTCTGCATGAATTTTGCAGTTTTGGATTCCTGAGCGTTGATATCAGTTCAAGCCATTAATTCATGGGATTCGGTCAATTTGAAATATTTATTAAAAATGAAACGTTTCGGCGACTTCAAACGCCATCTATAGTTTCTGAAACAGAAACATTTTTCTGCTATTCTCCTTGCAATATCTTAAACTTATCCTGTGGTTTACATGTCGGTACTCCGCTATGTTTATCTGGCTAGTAAAACCTCATGTATTGCCATATCTTCTTTACTGTAGTAAACATTTCAATCACAATGGTGATTTTCTTCAGTACAATCTTCTTCTTTTCTCCAGCTCGTCGATAGAGATCGACTTGTCACTCTAAATTTGTTATGTTCGATAATGTTAGGAGGAGTTCGTGTTGTATACTATCTCTCGAATTTCTTAGAGCCGTTTTACACACAAGAGAATTACTCCCTAAATTATGGTCATAATTATGCCGAAAATTTGCATGGAAAAAATATTGAAGATTTCCTCTACAACCTGTATGACACAAGCAAACAAAATTTCCGAGTAATTCATATGATACGCCTGCGCATTAGAGTAATATTTTCGAATGGACATAACCTTAACGGGTATGACGCCCAATATAATCGGAAAGACAACAGACGTCGTTGATTTAAATTTATTTTTGAATTCGAGATCTTGGTTAATATTATAACTTCTCAATGCTTGGACTATCGCATCCAGAGCCTGACTCCGCAAATTTCTGTTTTTATAATTGGGTGACTTCACCTTGCACAGGTTTGGCCATTTTTGGTACTCCTCCAACAACAGTGTAACTTCTTCGCGATTCCACGACATTATGAATAAACAATAACAATGAACGCTTCTTCGTAGATTCGAACAGGACCACACCCACAAATGTTAAGTGAGGTTATGTTGTTGACGTTGACATTTGATAATGACATGCACGGAAATAACCCTCTGCGCCGATTCTCGCGCATATTCTATAGAACGGGTTTTATATTTTTACCATGAAAATTTTCATAAGAATTCTTTTACGTGTAGTACGACAGCAAAAATTTTCGGCATAATTATGACCATAATTTTCGGAGTACTTAATTCTCTTGTGTGTAAAACGGCTCTTAGTTTGTGTGATACATACTTGACATTAATTACCAGTTTTCGTAAGTGATGCAAGAGATAACATTTGATTGAGGTGACTCCAGATAGCATCTGTAAGTCTATCAGTTTCTATTAATTTGCATTATGGTCAACTGTGAAATTTGCCAAACATTGATAACTCGATATTTCTAGCGATGCATGTAAAAAGCAGTTTCATTCTTTGTGTATCTCAAACACAAATATATTGGGCGTCATAAGTACTGTTCCTGGGTTGTTTCGGAGATGTAAGAACTGCATTCCTAGTTGCAGGATGATGTTAAGAATCTACTGAGTGGCGAAATTGACGAGGCCATGGCTTCTTTCAAGAATCAAGTCACGGAATTATCTGCTGATATATCAAGATCTATGAAATCATCTCATGCAGTACCTTTTGTCAACAAACCTGTAGTATTCCGAAGACGTTAGAAATAAGACCCAGCCAGCATTAATTATTCAGCCAAAAAATGGGAATCATCAAAGCAAACAAACCAAAGTTGATCTAATACAGCATGTGAATCCTTGTACTGCGGAAGTTCAGTTAGCGAAAGTGAAGGATGTTAGGGATGGTGGTATTCTTATTGGGTGTAAGTCAAAGGAGGAAAATCAGGACAAGTTGTCAGATAGTTATGTGATACGTGAAATTACCGGTGTTAACCCTCGGTTTCGGCTAGTGGACGTGTCAGATAAATATTCAGATGATAAATTACGACACTTGTTATTAAAAGGAAATACAGATATCTTCAAAGATGATTTTGAATGTAAAATTGATAAGCACTTTCCTACTAAATAAGACCCTTCTGTGTATCAGGTATTGTTCATGTTAAAGCTGGTTACTTGTTTGTGGAGTATGAAAATTGCGCCGTTTACGATGCTATTGATGTGTATCGTTGCTTTAAATGTAAGGAATTCCATCATTCTTCTAGCAAATGTAAAGGCGCGGTTATTTGCCTACTTTGTAGCGAGAATCATGACGTCAAACATTGCAAATCACAGAGCCGTAAATGCTCAAACTGTATGAAACTTAAACGGATCATGCTGTTTGGGACAAGCAGAAATGCAAGGCATACAATGACGACCTTGATAGATTGAGGCACCTACTCAGTCAATAGCAACCAATTTATCCCTTCATCGTAACTCACAAGGGACTAGATTCTAATTATAGTGATAGGCTGGAAACTCTAATATACTACCAGAATGTTCGTGGACTCCGAACAAAAGCTGCTGTTTTTATAATGCTATTTGTAGGTGTGAATATCCTAACATTGCAATAACTGAAACCTGGTTAGATTTCTCTTGTAAGAGTAGTGACTTTTACCGGACAGATCGGGATTATGTAACCACTGGTTGCTCAAGAGGTGGTGGTGTGTTGATTACGATTGATGACCGTTTTACAGCATCTTTGATAGGGATACCTCAGTTGGCAGTACTTTCTGCCCTAAAGATTAATGTTGCAGCAGTCAAGGTTTGTACCAACTCCTTTTCTTTTGCAATGTCTACATGCCACCTGATAAGCCCAATGGTGAATATGAGCAATTTTATGATGCTCTCTTGTCATCGCACGTACTATTTGATAAGAATTTAGTTATACCAGGGAATTTCAACATAACTAACTACACTTCGTATGTTAATAGTCATGGACGCAACGCAAAATTGGTATCGTTGAACAACTTTGCCGAGGGCCTTGCTATTAATCAGTTTAACAATATTTCAAATTCTATGGTAGTAGATGTAGTGGTTTGTGACAGATTGAACATTCGTGGGATCCTAGATGAAGACGCATATCCCCCTGTCCCCCCTGTCCTGAATATATGTTTTAATATCAATTAAGTTTCAATACTAACCATAATTTTCCAGTTTCATTTATGAATTCTCATAATTTCCGCAAAGCCAACTTCCCCCAATTATACAATTTAATTTTAGACATGGATTGGGCTGCTTTAGATGGCTTTCATGACGTGAATGAAGCTAGTGAATTCTTTTATAATAAACTATACAATGCTTTTGATACCTGTGTTCCAAAATATGTCCGATCAACGAAACATAAATACCCACCCTGGTTCAATTCAGCAATAATTAAGCTTATCAAACGCAAGGAGAAGATTCACCGATCTTACAGACGCAACGATGATCCTGAAGCGTATCAGACATTCAGGAAACTTAGATCAAAAATGAAGATAGATTCAGATCAAGCATACAAAATATATGTCAGACAAGCTGAGAATGAAAAAAGAAGAGATTCGAATAAATTTATAAATTTTGGGGCTTCTTAAATTCTAAGCCAAAATCTACTACTACTCAATATTACTAGATTTGAGGAGGATGAAGTTGTCTTAGCCTTGAAGCAAATAAAACTTAAAATGGCTACCTGACCGGATAATGAACCAGCTTTTATTTTGCGTGACTGTGCCTCTGTGTTGGCGTATCTTTTGACCGTTTTATTCAACTTGTGTCTTACCACCTGCACAATTCCAGAATTATCGAAGTTGTCTAAAGTATGTCCAATACATAGAAACGGCAGTAGGAATGATGTATTAAATTTAACATTGACAGATGATTACAAATAGATGTGATCTACACATACTTCTCCAAGGCTTTCCACAGAGTTGATCACGGGATGCTATTGCATAAGCTGAAATCTCATCGATTATCCGAGTCTCTAATACAACTATGTCAGTCCTACCTCACTGGAAGAAACCAATTTGTGATGTTTAATAGCATCAGATCGTCGGAGTATGTAGCCAATTCCGGAGTGCCACAAGGCAGTAACCTAGGGCCTCTATTGTTCGTCATATTTGTGAATGACATAGTTAATGCTGTTGGCGAGAATTGTTTACTTTACGCTGATGATCTGAAGATGTTTTGTCGTGTAGCTAATGAAGCTTGGTGCTGACAAAATAATCTACCATTAAACATCAATAAATGTTACGTAATGTCTTACACTTTGAAGAAAAATCCTCTGTTATTTGACTATACCCTGTCAGGTACCTCTATTCAGAGGACTTTATGTGATATTTGACTCCCAACTAACATTCGTCAAACACATTGACAGCATAATTTCGGTGGCAAACCACATGTACGGCTTTATTGTAAGAAACTGCCGTGACTTCACTCAGAATACCACCTTGAAGTTGCTCTATTATGCATATGTTAGGTCCAAGCTTGAGTATGTATTGCTAATTTGGAACCCGCATCATATTATTCATATAAGAAGGCTTGAATGTGTTCACAGACGTTTCTTAAAATATTTGTCACTGAAAGTGGATGGCGTTTACCCGCCCATAGGTATAACTCAGGATTACTTACTCGGAAAACATTTTTCTGTTTAAATTGATCAATAATGCTAGTGATGATTTAGCTTTCTTGGGTCAGTTAACATTTAACGCACCTAGGCTGACATCCCGACAAAACGTTACGTTTTATCTACCTGCGGCACGGACAAATTATATACATTGTTTCCCTTTACATGTGATGTGTAGGAATTACAATTCTGCAAGTAACCGGATTGATATATTTAACTGCAGAATTGCAGACATAAAAAATATACTAAGTGACATATAAATCCAAACACCCAGTTAAAATGGTTTTATTTTAATAAAATTTTGTATAAGTACTTAATGAAGCATAATAAGTAAATGATAAAAATTTCAAAATGATTGCACTGCTTTAAAGCCTTTTGACCTTTAATAATGTGTGGATGCACCCTGATGTGCGACGCATTTTCCAACGCGCCTAGCCAAGCTTCTGATCAGGTGGTCAATGTCCTCCTGTGGTATCTCATTCCAGGCAACCACCAACTCCTCTCGAAGTGCTTCTAGAGTCTGAGGAGGACGTTGCAAATTGAGCAATCTCCTACCCATCATATCCCACACGTGCTCAATTGGGGATAAGTCGGGAGATCTTGGTAACAATGTGACATCATTATGTTGAAAGAAGTCTATTGCGACTCTTGCAACATGTGGTCGGGCATTATCTTGTTGGAAAGTTGGATCTGCCAGGGTGTCAAGATAGGGTAAAAAATGGGGTTCTAGAACTTCGTGGATATAACGCTGCGCGTTCATGTTACCTCTGATGAAGATTAAAGGTGACCTGGAACCATAAGCTATAGCACCCCAAACCATAACTCCAACAGTGTGATGAACATGTCTTTCAACAAAAAACTGTGGATTCCCCCTTTCATCACGTCGCCTTCTAACCCTGGCACGACCATCGTGCATGCCTAAACAAAATCGAGACTCGTCACTGAAGACATTACTGTTCTATTCCTGATCCCAAAGTGACCGTTGTCTGCACCACTCAAGGCGATTACGTCGGTGTTCTCGAGTTAAAGGGAGGACCCAGTGTGGCCGGTATGAAAACAAGCCAAAACTTCTCATTCGTCGGTAAACACCTCGCATGCCAATAGGTCTTCCGTGTTCTGCAAACCATTCATTTGCAATGGACCTGGTAGTGGAGAAACGGTCCCTTAAGGCCAATAATCTTAGGCGGCGATCTTCACGGTCTGTTGTTCTACGGCGGCGTCCAGTGCCCCTTGCTCTTTGCGTACGGCCTTCTCGAAGCCATGCCTGACAACACCTAACCACAGTGTCTACACTTCTTTGCACTCTAACTGGAATTGCTCGAAAAGAAAGTCCAGCTTCCCGAAGTCCCACTATACGGCCCCTATCAAACTCACTAAGTTGACGAAATCGTACAGGTCTCCGTACTCTAGGCATCGTAACCGATCGTAAAGGATGTCAAGAACCAAAATCCGCCAACGTTGATTCTTTACTGCGGCTGAAATATTCATTTTTAGAGCGTTAGTGAATTAAAAAAAAGCAGTGTAAAAACCGGAATGTCCAACTGATAAGGCTGAAAATTTTTTCACTTGTTATTTACAGTAAGATAAATACATTCACCAACTTTTATTAAAATAAAACCATTTAAACTGGGTGTTCGGATTTATATGTCACTTAGTATACTATTAAGTAACCAGCATGTATCTTTTACACTTTGTAGTATATTACTTATTATTGTCTTTTATATATATGTTCTGTGTTACCTCAGCCTGTAATTGGTATTTACTGTAGGTTGTTGTAATGAATAAAATAAAAAATAAAAAAATAAATGGAACAATGACAATATTCATTTTAGTGTCTTCCAGGTGATAATTATTTTCTTTTCATTATTGAATTCCTAAAAAAAGAAAAAACAACCTGTCATCTCTAAGACAGATAAATCAAAAATTATTATTGTACTGAAGAAAATCATCTTTGTTTTTTTATACCGGAGCAGCCGCGCAGGCAAAAGTCAAAATTCCGGGACACCGCGGCTAATATGAGGATCCAAAAGAAATTTTTTAATCCGATTTTTGAACTGCCTAAGGGTAGTAGAAATGGAAAAGCTTTCTCTTGTAGATTGTTCCACAATCTCGACTCCCTCGGGAGAAAGGAGCGGTCGTATCGGCCAGTTCTGAATGTACGAAGTTCGACACCGTTAGGATAGGAGGCCAAAGTCAGGCAGTTCTCTCTGGCAGGTACATCGCGCGGCTGCATCATGGAAGAGAGCTTTGAGGAGCAACGCTCGTTGGTGTATCGGTAGAAGAGAGCTAGATCGCCGACGGCCCGCCGGTGCGGAAGGGTTCTGAGACTGTCTGGGCCTTGTACAGGTCATGCGGAGAAAAGTACTTCTTAGCCCTAAACAAACAGCGTAGCTTTTTCCCGAGATGTGTTCGTCCCAGGTCAAGTCCTCAGTGATCTGGACTCCGGCCAGCCGAAGTGAACAGTTCTTTGGCAGAACTCGGCCATTTATAGAAGCGGAATGACCGCTAGGACGCTTTTTGTTGGTCAAGGTACAGTATAGATTTTTGGAAGCATTAAACTGTACAAGATTGTTGCGTCCCCAAGCAGTGGTAACCTCTAGGACTCTCGTCAGAGAGGAAGTCGTCACTAGTCTTTTTTTTCCAGCTCAGCGGCAGAGATCGGCTTGTCACTCTGATTTCACTGGACAACAAATTTTAGTTTTTTAATTGTATCTTGTGGGAAAAGTGCACTTCTTTGTTAATTTTGGGGCGCTGAATCCAAAAATGACAATGAAATAAAAAAATTAGTTGCGGTTTAGAAAAAACTTTTTATTTTTAAGGATATACTAAATAAAGTAACAAGATTCATATACTTATAAGAATCACTATATGCGCTGTCTTTTTGCTGTTCTTTTATGGATCGTTTCTGGAGCATCTCTACCAAGAGTCCAACAGTAGTCTGCAAGCATGGAAGGATTCCACTTTCCCTGGTACCTTTTTTCCATTTTTGAAATATCCTGATGAAAACGTTCGCCGTGCTCATCACTTACGGCTCCGCAATTGTCAGGAAAAAAGTCCAGGTGTGAGTGTAGGAAATGTATCTTAAGAGACATATTACAGCCCATCTTTTGATACGATGACAGCATATTTTTGACAAGGGTTTTATAGTTGTCAGCTTTTCTATTTCCCAAGAAATTAGTGACCACCAGACGGAAATCATTCCAAGCAGTTTTTTCAATACCTGTTAAAGTGTTTTCAAACTGTATCTTTCAAAATATTTCGAATCTGTGGCCCAACAAAAATATCTTCTTTAACCTTTGCCTCACTTAGTCTTGGAAATTTCTGACGCAGGTATTGAAAAGCTGACCCATCTCTATCTAATGCCTTGACAAAGGTTTTCATTAGGCCCAACTTGATATGCAGTGGTGGTTATACATTTTTTTTCGAATCTACTAATGGCATATGCTGTACATTTTTTTGACCTGGCCCTAGGAATTGACGAACAGGCCAGTTTTGTCTGGAGTAATGAAGTGCCTTTGCCCGACTGTCC